TTAATGCTCTGGACATTATAACATTTCGAAAATCTTTAACCTCTCATGCACTAAGCACTTGTAGAGCCACATCAATCGGCTCTACCACTCAAGAAACCATTAGAATACACCGACATACTATCATCCATGTACAAAGTCATACTTGCCAGTTTTCCTTCCAGCAACAAGCAAACAATAGAATTCTTTAAAGGAAAGTGACACTGTGATGGTGACACTATGATGGTGGCACTATGATGGTGGCACTATGATGGTGGCACTATGATGGTGGCACTATGTTGGTGGCACTATGATGGTGGCACTATGATGGTGGCACTATGATGGTGACACTATGATGGTGGCACTATGATGGTGACACTATGATGGTGACACTATGATGGTGACATTAACATGGTGACACTATGATGGTGACACTATGATGGTGACACTATGATGGTGGCACTATGATGGTGACACTATGTTGGTGGCACTATGATGGTGACACTATGATGGTGGCACTATGATGGTGGCACTATGATGGTGACACTATGATGGTGACACTATGATGGTGACACTGATGGTGGCGCTATCATGGTGACACTATGATGGTGGCACTATAATGGTGACACTATGATGACACTATGATGGTGGCACTATAATGATCACACTATGATGGTGGCACTATAATGATCACACTATGATGGTGTCACTATGATGGTAGCACTATAATGGTCACACTATGATGGTGACACTATGATGATGGCACTATAATGGTGGCGCTGTGATGGTGGCACTATGATAGTGACACTGATGGTGACACTATGCTGGTGGCACTATGATGGTGGCACTATGATGGTGACACTATGATGGTGACACTATGATGGTGACACTGATGGTGGCGCTATCATGGTGACACTATGATGGTGGCACTATAATGGTGACACTATGATGACACTATGATGGTGGCACTATAATGATCACACTATGATGGTGGTACTAAGGATGGCACACCATGATGGTGGCAAATATAATGGCGGCACCATGATGGCGACACTATGATGGTTGTACAAATGACAGACACTAAGGATGGTGGCACAAATGATGGCGTAGCAATCTATGTTGGTGACATCTATGATGGTGGCACTAAGATGATGACACTATGATGGTGACACCGTGATGGTGGCACGTCGATGGTAGCACCAAGCTGGTGGCACTTTGTTGGTGGTACTATGTTGGCGGCACTATAATGGTGGGCACCATAATGCAGGCATTCACATAGTGCACCATGATGGTGGCACTATGATGGTGACGCTATGTTGGTGTCAATAGAATGGTTGCACTATGATGGTGGCACTATGATGGTGGCACTATGATGGTGGCACTATGATGGTGACACTATGATGGTGACAATATGATGGTTGCACTATGATGGTGACACTATGATGGTGACACTATGTTGGTGGCACTATGATGGTGACACTATGATGGTGACACTATGTTGGTGTCAATAGAATGGTTGCACTATGATGGTGGCACTATGATGGTGGCACTATGATGGTGGCACTATGATGGTGACACTATGATGGTGACACTATGTTGGTGTCAATAGAATGGTTGCACTATGATGGTGGCACTATGATGGTGGCACTATGATGGTGGCACTATGATGGTGACACTATGATGGTGTCAATAGAATGTTGGTGCACTATGATGGTGGCACTATGATGGCACTATGATGGTGGCACTATGATGGTGGCACTATGATGGTGGCACTATGATGGTGTCAATAGAATGGTGGCACTATGATGATGACACTATGATGGTGACACTATGTTGGTGGCACTATGATGGTGACACTATGATGGTGGCACTATAATGGTGGGACTATGATGGTGACACTATGATGGTGACACTATGTTGGTGTCAATAGAATGGTTGCACTATGATGATGACACTATAATGGTGGCACTATGATGGTGACACTATGATGGTGACACTATGTTGGTGGCACTATGATGGTGACACTATGATGGTGGCACTATGATGGTGACACTATGATGGTGGCACTATGATGGTGGCACTATGATGGTGACACTATAATGGTGACACTATGATGGTGACACTATGATGGTGGCACTATGATGGTGACACTGATGGTTGCACTATGATGGTGATCCAGGGAGTGCCAAAGCGTCCTGGCTCTCCCTGGGATACTTTGGGATCGCCTGGGACACTGACACTCCCTGGGATACTGGCTGGCTCTCCTGGGACACTGGCTCTCCGTGGAATACTCTGGTACTCCCTTGTTCTACAGCCAGCATTACTTTACCACGACTATTCCCACCGACAACTCCGCCTAAAAAAACAGTGATGAAACTCGAGCACACAAAACACCCGTCTCACTCAGCCACTAACCTAGACCACTCAATCTTCCTCCCTTATGTTTCCCCCACAATTTATAAAAAAAAACTCATTTCTTCCCTCACTCCATATTTCAATATATATTTTTTTTTACCTCACTACATTTCCATATTTCGATCACATGTTGTTTCTCCAATTCTGTAAAAGAAAAGTGATTTATTTTTTTGTCTATTGTCTTGGGTAATATTTGTTTTTATGCCGATTTTTCCCCACATATAACCTCCCACTGCTTATTCCTCCCTTAAAAACATGCAATTATTTCTTAATTCTCGATGTTTTTCGTTCATCAAACCTTCTTCCCTCCTAATTTGAAGAGACTGATAGCCAGAGTTATTTCCTTTAGACCCCACTATACCCCTTCCCTTCCCTCTCGTAATGTCTCCTTTTATCCACTTTACCTCCCATTAGCTTAAATTTATCATCTCGTATCACACTTGATAAAACCTCAACATATTCATACTTTCCCTTGTGAATATACGAGTAATATGGTTGGAAAAATAACATAATCGTTCATCCTCATTATTTTCTGCTTCTTTTTCTTACAATTCCTTTTTATAAACGTCTTATTATTTTTTCTTTACATTATATCTTGTGAATTGATATCCTTTGTTATATTTTCTTTCTGGGTTTTAATTTCTTCTCTTTGTTTTTATGAAAATTTTGGTTGTCATTTTTACTGCTAAATGTGAATACTAACCGATCTTATACACACACACACACACACACACACATCTCTATTACTGTTCCACTGTTACTTTTAGTTAATGGTCCTGTAGAGGGGTCAATCAACTACTACCTGTTAGTAGAGCTGGATGGTCACAGTAACACAAAAAGTTCTTTTGGGTAGATTTACAAACCCAAAGTGTTTTTCCTATTTTATTATAAAATATATTCTTTGTACAATTAAAGTGTTACATCACTGTAATTGAATAATGAGCGTGTAACTTATGAGAAGCTAATGCGGGAGCTTCTGAATACACACGACTTGACGGTGTCAGATACCTTATCAACTGGTTGTAAGTTGTTGCCCTACGCAGGGCACTAGTCCGCAGAGATCATTTGAAAGACATTGAGGTTAAATGACCAAGACGTCACACTTGCTCATAGTTCAATTACCGTGAGTGATGTAATTTTATAAACATACTGTACAGTATATAGCCCACCTTTATATAAGCATCGCTAATATACTATTGCAAAGGTGATGATATTCGTTCTCAACGAACACTGTTTTGGATTGATTCTGACGCACTGTTAAGTTTTCTATTTTCTCTCTTCCTTAATCCACACCCCCCACCTCTGCTTCATATAAGGAATTGTCCTGCTGTATCTCTCATCTACCATCAACCCTCTCGTATTCTGCAATCAGTAATTCTCTTGGTCATAAGTTTTCTGAGGGATTAATCAGGGTATCTCACCACATACGTCTTTATTTCTTAATGCAGTTTTCATATATCCGGGTTAGTTTGGATTGGGTTAGGTTACGATAGGTTAGGTTAGGTTATTTTGGATTGGGTTAGGTTAGGTTAGGGAAAAATCCAAGACACAAAATTTTGCTCTGTTTATTTTTAAAAGACCACAACGCGTTGTGGTCGCCTTTCGTATTCTGAGCCCAACATACAGGTATACTGGTATATATCTTACACCGTGAAAGTCTGCTACTCATCCGTTAAGAATATTCTATTATATGGCATTAATAAAAAGTGTCTTATCTTGTTATTTATTATATAGAAATCTAAGAACAGTTTACATCTGCTCTACGTGCTATTCTATTTAATTATCTTGTTCCCGTGTGTGTGTGTGTGTGTGTGTGTGTGTGTGTGTGTATTAATGATAATAATAAACAATTGACTGTTTATTGAGGACATAGGAGCCAAAAGGCTGAAAATATACAATAAACAGAGACGAGAAAAATTACATGAAATGAGAATAATGAGTTGGGTCATTTGACCGACAAAAGTTTTCAATACAAAAAGAGAAGTAGCGTGGAGTGAACAGACAAAGTAATTGCATATATTGAAGTAATCTCGTTGGTCTTGTATACTGCCTTCACACAGTACAGAAGGCGTCAACACCTTGGTGCCATCCTGGTCTCCTGTTTGCACCTGTTTATACGCCCATGCCGAGGTCTCTCAACTCACAGGGTGTTGGAGAGGGTTCTTGTTTCTCATTTGACGTTTTGGAGAATTCTCATTTATGACCTGGTGGAGTTTGGAGTCTTCGTTTCTTACTTGGTGTCGTTGAAATTTCTTATATCTTAAATGGTGTAGCTAAGGCTGGGTGTCACATATGGTGTTAGTTGGTGGTGATAGGTGGTCAAGTTTGGATGGTTCGTGTCCATTGACCGCGGGGCATCGACTTACCATTTTCTAACTCTAACCGTTAGACAGTGAAACGACTGGAAACAAGAGTTAGACTCAAACATTTGTTCCCATTACTTTTGAGTTGAAATTATTACTTTTGTGTATCAGTTGTGGGTTGATCATCAAACTTTGAACTGTATTGTTGGTGGGAGGATGTTGATAAATCCAGATGGGAGAATGAAATAAGGAGGGAGAAGGCCCGACAGACGAGGCTGGCGGCTGTCTCCCTGGTCTAAAAAGACCATGGTCACCTTAGCAGAGCAGCGCCAAGTACATCCTCACCCCATGTGGCGCAGAGGTCCAGGGTTCGATTCCCGACTAGTGAGGTATTGTTTGTATATGGAAGTCCGCGTGCTATATGGACTGATGATATATATATATATATATATATATATATATATATATATATATATATATATATATATATATATATATATATATATATATATATATATATATATATGCAAGTATATCACTGTAGGTGCAGTGTGATCTAGGTATATGATAACCACAAGGAAAGAAGAAAACACGAAGTTCCCAAGCGCTTTCGTGTAATTCACATTCTGGGTGAGTACAGACTAAAGAGAAATACAAACCAAGGTGTATATATGCAGAGGAGGGTGAGACCAGTTCCACAATGGTCAGGTATTAGGTAATGACCCTACTTTAAATAGCACTAACGAGTTGGTGGTCAGTCAGATGGTCAGGTGACCCGACCTTCTCACCTGATTACAAATCTTTAATAAAATTGTTCTAGCTTGTACATGTTACTCAAATTCATGTTAATGCTTCGGTATGTTTAATAAGACTGATTTTATGATGTTCCTACTATCAATTGAATTACATGGTAATATTGAGAATGCATTATCCCAAATGCAATGCTTGTTATCCCTGAAAAAATAACAGCAGAGCATTTATTTATATTATATCATATATATATTATATATATATATATATATATATATATATATATATATATATATATATATATATATATATATATATTATTTATAAACTGCAATGAAAACGTGGATAAGGAAATAGCGGTGCATTTGCTTTTGTCTTATTCAAGACATCTTCAGAGCAATAATTCTGAAGATGTTTGAATAAAGATGTTTATAGCTGTTTCCATTATCAAATATATATATTATATATATATATATATATATTATATGTTATATATTATATATATATATATTATATATTATATATATATATATATATATATATATATTTATATATATATATATATATATATATATATATATATATATATATATATATATATATATATACACTATAAGTGTGTGTGTGTGTGTTGCATTCCCAGCCCTTGCCTTCGTATGATTTAGTTAACCCAAATAAAAATATTCAAAGCATTATCATGAAATGGCCTTGAAATTAGCGCATCCATTAGCTTTATTATTATATATTAGAATATTAATATGTTTTTATAATTGTGCTTATATTCAGAACTCCATAGTGCAGTTCAATACAATCTTTGCACAAGGTTAGATTATAATGTAGAACTGTAATGGCAGGTTGAGCGCAGTACATGATACCAACTGCTTTCATATGCACACAAAATCATGAGTCTTTCACAAAGAGGATGGGAAGCTTTTTTCATTTGACTGGACTTTAGAATATAACGATGAGCTTCAGTTTACTAAGGCACTGGCAAGTCCCAGATACACGTAGCTCAAAAACAGGGATCACCCAGGCGAGTATGATAGAGACGAAGTTTCTAGTCCCGTACGATCAAGAAGATAGGGTTACAAATCCCGTATGATCAAAAAGGGGAGTTACAAGTCTCGTATGATCAAGAAGAGTGTGTTTCCAGACCTTTGTAATTCAGGCAGTATTAGTTACCAATCCGTATAGTCCTGTCAGGATGAGTTTCAAGACCCATGAGATGCAATGTGAGAGAGTTTCAAGACTATGATGTGAGAGAGGTGTAATGTGAGAGTTTCAAGGCCAGTGAGGTGTAATGTGAGAGTGTTTCAAGACTATGATGTGAGAAAGGTGTAATGTGAGAGTTTCAAGTCCAGTGAGGTGTAATGTGAGAGAGTTTCAAGACTATGATGTGAGAAAGGTGTAATGTGAGAGTTTCAAGGCCAGTGAGGTGCAATGTGAGAGAGTTTCAAGACTATGATGTGAGAAAGTTGTAATGTGAGAGTTTCAAGGCCAGTGAGGTGCAATGTGAGAGAGTTTCAAGACCCAGGAGATGCAAAGTAGGAGAGTATCAAGACCCATGAGGTGCACATGAGAACGTTTCAAGACTCGTGTGGTGTAAGGTGAGAGTGTCAAGACACCGTGTGAATTCGACTGAGGAAGCGTCCAAACCTGAATCTTTGTTCCAACTCGTCCTGGAAAGTGTTGGTGAGGGATAATGATGTTGGGAGCAAGATAGCCGAGAGGGAGAAAATGTTTCAAGCAAGAAATGACAATTGGAAGTAGAGGATGACATAGGGTGACTGGTAAGAATAAAAGAAAGTATAAGAGAGAGAAAAATAAGTGAGTATACACAGGAAAGAACGAGAACTGTATTGAATATATAGATGATTAATTGGGATAACAGTGAAGTGAAGATACGAGAGAAAAGATAAATATGTAACTCTAGAAGATGATAAATGGAAAGACATGAAAGGAACGAAATCGACTGAATAAGTGATCTGTGTATATGTGATATAAGGAAGGACATTTATATTAAACAAATAAATGGGATAAAAAAAATAAAAGAAATTGGAATGAAAACATAAACTGATATATATGCAACACTCATTGACAGAAATAAAGTGAACGACAATGGAAATGGTGTGGAGGGCGAGATAGCTGACACGTAGAGAGGGAACATACAGATGATAAACAGGGAGGTGATCTAGTACTGGGAAGGGAGGGGTAAAATGTATGAATAACGAGAGGGTAATGATAGTAAGAATAACAACAAAGAGTGATAAATAACGATGAAGAAGACAGAACACAGATGTGAAGGGAAGGAGAATAAGAAAAGGAATATAGCCATTTGAGAGGACTCATACTAGGTCGACCTGCATTACAGCCACACGAGTCATTCTAGGCGAGAAAATGACATCCAGTCGAATAAGTATTTTCACCTGAACATTTTATTACGTAAATGTTAGGTCAGCACAGTTGCTTTTAGCTTTCCGTACAATAAAAAAATATCATTAATCTCAAATACAGTTATACAAATGTCTGTTACTCAGTAAAGGCCGGAAGGTAATTTACTTGATATAAATATATATTGCGTTTATGTTTTTCCAACGTGTTTAAATGACGTATTTGAAAAGGAAAGAAAAAATCTTGAAAGGCCATCGGAATTCACGAGAGAAATCCATGTGTTGTAAATATTAGTATTTCAGGCAAGAATGATTTTACTGATTCGCAGCCCCTACCTCGCTCCACTATCACCTGGTCCTCCCCTGCCATATGTCACGGGGACAGACAGTGAGGGGAGGGCGCCAGGAAATTAATATTCAATGGAAATTAGACCATTAATACTCAACTGTTCATTAAATGTCGTATATTATAATTAGTTACTACTACTATTGGTAGGTTCTATTTTGTATACGTTCCACCATATAGAATATTATACTTTATCTCAGAAGACTGGACTGTCCGGCTTAGCGTTGGTTAGATCACGGAAGAATATAATTATGGTAGATGGCGCGAGTTTAAGCAACATGTACTGTACTGGACACACAAATGAAACGGACAAAGTTGTATTTATTGGTCATTTATTCCATTTCAGGAGGTGATAAACTTCGTAAATGATGCGTAAAACTACGTCAAACGACTGACCTGAAAATTTTGCATGATAATTGTGAATGAGAAAACAATTAATGGCACTGATAGACATTAACCCACACTGCAGCTCCCTCCTCGGCCCTGCTGCCATTACACTAAAGACTTTGCAGATTAGAATGGTGTTCTGTGAGCCCTGGGCAAAGGTGATATGTTTTTATTTCCCACCACACTCTCTTGTCATCTCGCCTTGACATCTAGATTAATCTCCCGCTGGGTCCTTCAGCCCGAGGGGAAATGTAGAGATAGGTGTAGCCAAGGCCATAACACTCATGATATGCCTTTTGAAAGCTATATCAAAGCCTAAGCAGCTCATAACCAGAGGGCAGCCAGGTTCTAGTTCTTAGTTTCGTTGCAGCAGTTCGGAGTCTTGTGTGTGGTTACCCCCGGCTATCTATGATGGCTCTGTGTCAGGGAGAAAAGATAAGGGAAGGGCGCAATCCTCTCTGATCCCATTGTTTTTCACATCCACCCCGTGACGGTGCTGCCCCCACGCGGCCGGAGGTTGAAGTTTCCTATAAAAGACGTTTTAAATATTGGCAGCCCATCTTTTCTCGTCTCAAAAAACTTTAAGTTCTATGCTATTGGTTATCAGGTCTGTCAATCATTACATATTCTATATAATGAGCACTCCTCTTGAAATATATCTTATCAAAAAACTTTGTCAGGTGAAAAAGTACGCAAAAGTCTCAAACTTTTAAGTGATGAAACTCTGAATCCCATTATCTAAACTGTAACTATGTTCAGTAATATATCCTCTGTTTGATATGATAATTTTGGAAATCATTTATTGTCTAATTCAGTGATACTTTCTAGAATATCTGGCTCTTAGTTTTAACTAGTTTTGTTGTTGTTAAAGTGATACATCTTTGTGAAAAGCATCTGTTCTATAATGACAGCAGAAAAATATACGGTCTCTTAATTCAGGTCTCTAGCTCTTAATTCAGGTATCTTAATTCAAGTGTCTTGATTCAGGTCTCTTACTTCAGGTCTCTTGGCTCAGCAGTCAATCTCTTTTCTTGTACACTACAGTCAAGTCTAAGGTCTTGTCTCTTGTCAGTTTCCTCATACTGTTAAGAACGAACAAGTGGCCACATATAGTAGTGGTTGTGTAAGACTTCAGCGTGAGTAATGTTAAAAAAGATGTTTATGTATACATTTGTTGATATATTATGGTGTATAGATGAAGCTGGGGCTGAACATCTGACCGTGTTTTTCATCTCCGTGGTGAGCCAGCAGGGATGGAAGAGGGTTTAGTGGTCCATAATAGTGAAGTTCTCTCTCTTACACACACACACACACACACACACACACACACACACACACACTTTTATTCCCCCGACTCGGAGTGTTAGGCTGATTTAATATACCACTGAGGCATAATAGTCCCTTGAAGTTTGAAAAAGTATGTGCTGATATTTTTCGTGTTGGAGGCGAGTGTTTGCTGTGGTTGAATCTACTCTTATGCTCAATATAGGGAAGATGATGATGAAATTATAGTTAGTCTCAGTAAACATCAGGTCTTGACAGTCTTATATGAATTATCTTACGTTTCTATTTCCAATAAGCGTAATGCGAGTTTGAATTTAATAGTGACCAAACTTTTGTAATTTTATCAGAATTATGAACTAACTTGTCTTCCTTGAAGCCCGTTAATTACTCTGTCAAATATGTCATGCTGCTGATAGACGGAATCACGTTCTTAACTACGGTATATTAAGATTGGAAAATTTTATTAAAATAATCTATAATTATGTAATTATACATTGAGAATAACAAACATATTTCCCGCTTAATTAATTTTCTCTGCATAACAGTTGTCCAATATCCTATTCAATTGAGATTAAATGACTTTTGCCATACAATAATTAATTTTATTATACTCCAAACGACTATGTTTGTAAATGACCTAATTGTCCTAACTGAAGATAATTTCGTGGAGGGGAAGTTTTTCTATATAATATGAAACATAATTCCCCAATATCTCTACTTATAGATTCGTCAGAAATATATTAGACAAATAATACCCCGCAGTATATAGGAAAGTTACCCATTAAGAAGTTATCTGCAACAACTCGGCTCAAGTACATTAGCGCTCAGGATTTCTCTCTCTGAATATCTTGCTATAATAATATACTGAAGCACCATAGTATTATATAACAATAACCACTACAAATTACACTTATTCATTTATTGTAATGTAATTCTCATGTAATCCTCACATTGCATGTTACGGTCAAGAGGTCAGACTCTCTACCTCTTAATTGATGAGGTGCCTCGTTCACCTGGGCCAGCACTCAGATTCACTGTGTGTGTGTGTGTGTGTTTTACTTATGCCACAAATTAGTTTTTTCAATTACATGTTTATCGCTTCTCTCGGGCTACCTTTACCCCCCCAACCCCCACCCCATCTTACGCCCAAGATAATTGTTTTCCCTCTGGGCTGTTCTATACCTTAATTCCTTCTCTGGAGTAAACTCCCACATATCTCTACCACTTCACTTTATCTCTTTTTTTTCTCTAATCATCGCTACAGTTCTCTCTCCCTGTATACCATCTCTACGTATTTTCAAATCTTTACCTTTATTCTCATTCACTGGTGTTGGTAATTCTTCTCTCGACGCACCTGCCGGAGTAACACCACTTGGCTTACTCTAGTTTGCGCCCATCACCTATCGCAACAACTAACAACCCAATTACTGCTTCTTCCTCATCGCTTATTATTTCCCGGTTGTAGTCTTATTTTGTTTTTATTCTCAGGTTACTCTATAATAAAACATTTTGAGAATATACCTGTATATCTGTCTCTCCTTTAACCCCATACTTTACCTGTTCCTTCCATATTACTTTTATATCGACTCTCTTGCACACTTTTTCCAGATCTATAAAAAATACAAAATATGTTCCCTTTCCTCAGATGATTTCCCATTTTCTTTCATAATATTTTATCTATACATCATTTTTTTTTACTTCGAGATAATATTTTCTCAATAAAGATATTAACACACCTTCCCCGTTATGACCAGTCGTAGGCCTTCGTATATTTATTCTTATAATCTGTGAGTCAAACAATTACACATTCTCTTCATCATCAATTCTATGGCCTTTTCACCTCCCATCTTAAACATCTCTACAGTAATTTCATCCACAACTGCCGCCTCACTATTCTTAAAAAATAACTTCAGTCTTATTTTTTTTCCTTCAAAATAATTATTATTGTCGCTGAATGAATCTTATCTTCTCTACTGCCTCTTGATTGACTTATGAGGGAAGATCTGTGTCCGAGGCTGTTTGATCTGACGTTTAATCTCGTACAGTATACAGTACATGGCGTCTTCCTTCCCCCAGACTCTCGGAGCTGCCCTCTTAGATGGGCTCCTTGCCAAGACTCTGGTCCCCCACCTCACGTGAATGTAAAAGAAAAAGAAAAAAGTCAACCCTCGGACATTGCTCTCCACTTCTCGGATCTGGGCATGACGTCACCAGAAGAGATCCTTGGTAATTCACACAGACACAAACAACACCGAACATGCCAGGACAAGTTGCTTCGTTTATATTTAAGGGTCAACATTTTATTTCAGCAGTTTTATATGATTTAAGTCTATAAGGGAGTTAAACAATAAATACAACTAAAATATAAAAAAAAAAACATGGTATTGTCTTAGTAAACAGCAGTGAGTATTGCTACCATGTCACCGATGAGGGAGTTGTCTCGTATTTCTCTCGGCTGTTCTACCACAGTCTTAAGTCGTTTTAATAACATTATCTCAATAGTTGTTCTTAAAATAGGTGACTGTGTTAATATTATCTATAAGAAGTGAAATTTTAATTTATAAAATATTATTTATTTGCCTGATGAGTTACAGATGGAGACGTCTTTCCTTTGATGACGTCAGGGCACATCTAATAAATGACAAATACTATTTCATCGAAATAGTGTGTCATGGCTTTGTGGTGTGGAAATACATTTTCTGCTATCAGGTCTGAAACCTGAGGCAGGCACTTAGGAAAGTCGTTTTCTGCTGGAGTTGTTCTGTAAGTTAGTTTACAGCTTGACTTACCTTTTCCTCCCTTAACTTTTCTCTCATCTTTCAACTTGACACATATTATTCCTCTCCGTCCCACTCTTACCTCTGGGTCTCTCACATCTCTTAGAGGTCAGGTCAAGATGCCCTTTTTCCTTGATAATATTGATACGAGTCCCGTGGGCCTCAGGATCTGTTAGGGAGTGTGTGTATACACCATGCGGAGTACTAAGCCTCTTTATGAAGGGTGAGCAATATACAGTAATATTATTTAAAGATCAAGGTGACCATTAGTTAATACTATTGGACATAACATACAGGGCTGCTAAAGCTGCCTCCCAAAAGCTGGGAATGCTGTACAGATGCCGTAGCTACTTCATTCTTGAGCATTTGCTTCAAGTTATAAGGGATTCATTCGTCCTAACTTGGAGTACTGCTCTCATATCTGGGGTGGCTCTTCTTCTGACCAACTGTTAGATAGGGTGAATCAAAGGCATTTCATCATATTGACTCTCCTCCATTACTTGATAATCTCTCTTCCCTTTCTCTTTGCCGCAATGTTGTTTCACTCTCTCTCTTTTACAGGTACTTTAACGGACAATGTTCGGTGGATTTGGCATCTTGTGTACCACCAACAAGGCCGTGGGCTCTTAACACACGTCTTGCCCGGGGTGCCCACCGTTTCTCTGTGGATGTCTGTCACACTAGAATAACCCGTTATAGTACATCCTTCTTTCCCCACACAGCCAAACTGTGGAATGCTCTGCCTTCTTCTGTGTTTCCATACTCATACAATCTGTCTCATTAAAAAAAATGATTTTCCGGTATCTTCGTTGTGTAGATTAATATATATATCCCCCCGGCCCTGCTGTGGGTCGATGCCCTGTGCTCGGGTCGGCTATTCCCCGTAAACAAAAAATATAATATAATACAGCTTCTTTCCTTGAGCCTCACCTCGCCCATCTGGGAGTTACCAAGATGTCTTTTACAAAACTTGGGTTTAGTAAATAATTAATGATAATAACTTACCACTTTCTCATGGAGTTGTTCTTAATATGTAACGATATCTTTAATAGATATGTACAGTGCAATGAACTGAGAATAACAGTTGTCTTTCGTGACGTCATGCGAGACTGAGTGATGGTTCCTTCATCTTATATGTCGTAAATTTTGTAATAGGTATAAAGTGTTTTCTTTTGATTTTTCTTTGGCATGAAAATATCTCATTAATATTAGACCAGAAACATGTACTCAAGAATGACCTTTTCAGATGACGTTATCTTTTAAAAGGTTCTCACCAGGTCTCTGTTCACGTTCTCCTTTTCCTTCAGGACTCATATATCCTCACTTTTATTCTTAACTCCCATGTCCATTTGTTCTCTCCACGTTCTCACTATTCACTATCAACCAATACAAGTTCTTGTTCTCTTTCAGGCCGCGTGACATTCTTTCTCTCCATGTTTCATCTTCTTCTCAGTTCTATTCCTTCACTATTCACTTCACCTTTCTCTTATTATTCACATGTTTTTCTTTACTTCCGTCACTTCTCATTTTGTTTTTAGAAATTCGCTCGTACAATCAATATTTTCTATGACAAGTTAAATAAAAAACAATACTATTCCGAGGAACTCCCTCATTCTGCCTTCGTTCATATATAGTACCGGCCGCTGGTGTCTGTGTTAGTTATACTCGTTTAGACCTTTAGTATAATTTTTGTGGAGCTATTGAAGCGTTTATCTTCCAATTACTATTTTTTAAGGGGGTTTAAATACATTACTTGATAAACCGTCCGTTATAAGTTGAGTTGTAACAATAGTAAGACGGAACAGATGATCGTTTGATGCAATACTTTTGGGGGGTAAAGTTATGGTTCGTGGTTTTAATTCATCTTGGATTTGATAACACCTGATGATCATTTTGTCTTGTTCTGTTACTTTAGAACTTTTAGAGTATATAAAAGAGTGATTGTTGTAGTAACTGAGGAAACCTTCAACATGCCTGCCGGAAAACACGAAGACGACAATGGGTTCTTAACTTTATCGCGCTGTTTTTACTTGAGAGCTGAAGTCTTTCCCCGAGTTTCCTTTCCTAATAAATTAAACTATTTTGTTTTGCTATTTTTGTTTGATAATTATTTGCCATGGTTGACTTCCACCCCGTGTGTGAGGACCAGTGACAGTAAGGATCACAAAACCTAAGGCTTCCTAAGTCACTGCTCAGTGATTTTCACTTGCCTAGGTTTCTTGGTTCTTGGCCCACCATGACAGTTTTCCATTACAAGTGTTGGAAGTCTTTAACAAACATAGAATTTCTACCTCGTGTGTACAGAGGAAGGGTTTGGTTCTTAAGGCTGTACAAGACAAATTGAATCTGATTATATTGTAGAGAGAAAGCGAGAGAGAGAGAGAGAGAGAGAGAGAGAGAGAGAGATGTATTGCGTGATTGCTAAATGAGGACGAATCAATACCAGTCTACTCAGTGTGTAAACAGAAAAGGTGGAGCCAGGCTAATCTTTCCCTTCTCCTCCCTTCCTTTCCTCCCCTGGGTTTCTGATCCCTCCTCCCTCTTCTATCTTCCTTTCCTCCCTCGGCCCCCTCTTCCTCTCTTCTTCCTGCCCTCTATTTTCCACATCCCAGTGTCCATCCTTTCTCCCTCCTACAGGTCCCTCCTCCTTCCCCTGTTCCCATCTCACCTTTGTCTTCTCGCCTTCTCGCTTCCCCAAGTTTATTTTTCCACATTTCAACCAAAATATTTCTCGCTATAACATAAATCATATATCACATCGGGAATAGTTTAGTGGCGTGTTTAAATTACGTCATATCGCTCTCTTGTGTTGACGTAGCCCGACAGCTGTCTGTTTTTCAGAATTTGTGCAAGCACCTCTGGCTAATTCAAGGCTAATTATGGTGTACATAGTTCATGCATGTTCACTCACATCCATAAAATTACACACACACACACACACACACACACATATATATATATATATATATATATATATATATATATATATATATATATATATATATATATATATATATATATATATATATATATATATATATATATATATACATATACATAAGCCCACAAGGCCTTGCCAGGTGGCCTAGACGAAGGTGGATCAGTTCAGCCTCGACTGAGCAATTTAGGAAGAATATTTCTAAGAAAATGGGATTGTAATCCTACTGAGAAAAGGATTTTATCGTTCTTCTCAGTGACTGAGGAGGATAGTTTTCGCTTGATAGTTTCATCTTGTAATCACTGATGGTCTGACTAAACCTCTACACGAGATGTTTGTGACACAGAAATTCAGTTTAACTAGCTTGTTCAACACTGTCTTGAATATATACAACTTATGTGTGATTCTGTCGTAAGGAACTTCGTCATACGATATGACTGCTGTTTTACCGAGTTAGGAGCCTCACAGAATATCTTAAAGTTGATGATGTTCTTACCACTGAAGTTTTAAAGTTAAGTTGAGTCTAGAGCCAACTCAGGGCTATAGTTGCTGCACGTTTCATCTGATTGATGATTCGAAACATTAAATTTCCATGGGTAAGAATCTGGATATAAAGTTCTATGGGTAAATATGACAGGCAAGGCTCTGAGAATATATGATGAATGTGTAAGAACTTGGGTATAAAGTTCCATGTTCAGTAGCTAAAACAACTATCTGTGCAGGCGGGGGTCGATATGCTCCGAAATTTTACGTGTGACTAGTGACAGCCCTCGTATACCAATATTTATCTTCCATGGTCTCATATTGTTTCCCACAAGGTATGTAGCCTACAGATAGTTGTTTTAGCTTTTGTACTTGACGCTGTTTTAAATATTATTAAGGTAGGAAACTTGACTTCAGTTTTCGTGGATGATCAACTAAACCCAAGCGGCCATAAGTGGGGGAACAGGAGAACACGTGTTGAAGAGTAAGAGAAAGACCAGCAGCTGGGGGATGGAGGAGTGTAGGGTACGTCGACCAGGAAATCATTAATCTGTAAAGACCATCACTCAAGTCTCCGTCAGCTGTAAAGACCATCACTCAAGTCTCCGTCAGCTGTAAAGACCATCACTCAAGTCTCCGTCAGCTATAAAGACCATCACTCAAGTCTCCGTCAGCTATAAAGACCATCACTCAAGTCTCCGTCAGCTGTAAAGACCATCACTCAAGTCTCCGTCAGCCGTAATGACCATCAAACACTTCTCCGTCGACCACCAAGACCACCACTCGTGTTCTCGACCGTGTTCCGAGGCAGTAAATTAATTCTTGGAAGAAAAGAATTCAAAATGAAGCGAAACAGACGAAGATACATGGAGGAGATAACATTGTGGTGAGCAGGACACACGATGCTCTCTCATGCTGGATAAACATGAAGGCCCCGGTGTCGTATCTTCAATTGTTTTTTTGTATATATATATATTTGCCAGAGTGTTGTGTTAAACCGTGTGCTATATATTAAACAGTGTGTTATG